CGGACTCTCAAGCACTGCGCCACCAGGGAAGCCCCTATCTGTTGTTTTTAATGATTCAATATTTCTCATATCAACAGGGCACATCTTGTGTGTGTGTGTACATTTACTTATATCAAATCTCTCCTACATGTCATTAATCAGTGTTCACCTAAATTATACTAATCTGAAGATTGAAATTTTTTTCAAAATCTTACTCTGTGTAGTGTTCCTGTTGCATGCACACAGACAATGGTATTCATGGGTTTTTTGCCTCTCTGAGAAATTTACTTGGCCACACAACTGGCTGAAATCCAGAGAGTTTGACGAGGGTTTTATAACTCTGGAGGGAAGAAAGAGGAGAAATCATTGAAAAAAAGGGTTCCTGGTATTCATTTGGGAGTAGAAAAGAGAGCAATTCAAGTATAACAATAATTATATAGAGCACTGCCAAGACTAAAATGAAAATGCATAGGTCTTGACGTTGCCATTAGTTACGAGACATGGGGACACAATGACAGGCACCCCGTTTCCTTTAGTCTATCCTACGTGTTCCTACTAGTCTGTCTTCATCTTTCGATTTTCTGTCTCTCAACATTCAATAAATTCAATGGAATGGCTCAAATTACCTTCATTTGGGAAACACCTTTATGGTTTAAAAATTCTCAGCTCATGTTCTTACACCAAGAGGGGAGACATACTTGAGTCAAGCTGAGCGAGTGTGCTGAAATTTTTCTCCGGGAAGTACTACTGCAAACGTCACAAATGATTCTACTTACCAGTCTACTACTTAGTGTTAAGTGCAACCGAAATGTTCTGGTTTATCCTGACTGGCATGACTACTGATTATTTAAACAGCAGTTGGTTGCTAGGAGACAATTACCCAATTGCTAGGCTTTCTGCAACCCTGTCTCCTGGAGCTCTTGAGAACTGTCCACATATTTGTCCCAGAGCATTTTGGCAGCATCCTTCTGCACCTTCTGCTGAAAGCCAGTTAATTATGAGTCTTGTAAACTTGGGTCTTTCAACCAACTGCCTTCATAATAAATGTAACCCACAAGCTCAGACTTGAATAGCATCATTTGGAATAACTGCTGTTTTCTCTTCCTTTTATTTACTTCTCTAAGTTCCCAAACCTTCATCTTAGGCAACTAGAATGGACCAGTATTAGTGACTGAAACTGAAGTAGGAAATCAGCAGGACATGTAATTAGGTCAGAAGATTATTTGAATCTACCAGGAAACTGGCTATGTCCTAATGTCCTACTTCATGTTAAGGCCCAGAGGAAACTTTCGTGGGATGGGAGAGAGAGGAGGCCTGTTGTGGCCATTCAGGAATGAATCTGGTCCAAGTACCTGCCATACAAGAGCTCTCAACACATCTTTTGTTTGTCCCCTGAAAGATAACGTATCTTGCTTTCAACTGGACAACGTCCTATCTTCTTTTTCTTCATTTTCCTTTATTTGGCATTTCCTTTATATGACATCGTACAAGTTTGCTGTCCTCCTTTTGGGAGGGGTCCCAGCTGAGTGCTCCTATCTTACAGTCATTCTACCATGGCAGGCAACCACCTGTATTTTTGTACTTTATTAAAATAGCATTAAGGGCACTGCAGAGAAATATTCTCTCACTTAAGGGAAAATATTCTGGCTAAAAGATGTACTACTTTTTCTTTTCAATTTTAGTTGCATCAAAGGCCATTTTGAAAAAGAAAACCCTCAGCTGTTTTTTCTCCCCAGCCTCAGCCCATCTTCTCCCTTGGTGCTTGGCAGTTCTGTTCTGAGACCCTCTTTCTTGGGAACCAAGCCAAGCCTAAGCAGACTAGGAAGTCTGCTGCTTGTCTGAGGATGCTCCACCCTGGGAATGATTCACACGGGAGTTAAGGGCCTCCCAGCAAAACCCAAGGAAAGCCCCTACGCAGATGCCTGGCATCTGCCTGTTCCTGTTCCTTAAGACACACTCTGCTCTCACCATTTCTCTCCCTCAGTCACCCTTTGAACTTTTCTCCTTATACTCTGAGACTCACTTTTTCCCTCCCAGACTTCCAAATGACTGTTGAAGACCCCACTCCACCTCTTCCTTGTACTTCTGAGACTCTCTGTACCAAGCCACTTTGCTGTGAACTCTACTAAGATGCCCTCTTGAGGGGTGAGAGGTACCGCACAGATGTGACCAAGCTAAGTGACGCTGACTACTTGGCTAGGTTAGTAAGCACCAAATCAAACTGCATGTTCTCATACTATCATGTTGCTCACTTTTCAGAAGCTCCTCGGGTCCTATTTGTTCCACTGCCATCCCCACACTTGCTCAGCCTTCACAGCCCCACTTCTGAGTCAATCATGTTCAGGACAGAGCAAAAACTTCTTTCTAGGTTCTATCTAGCCGCCAACTTATAGTCATTTACTAATCCCCATACTTCAAAAGGTTCCATTTATTTCAAATAAGCAGTCCACTTCTGATAATAACCATTTGAGATATAAACATTTTAACTAAAATAGCTTCAGAAACAAACACTGTGGGGTGACACTACAAGTTAGGTAACTCTCCTACTATTTTCCCCTGGTGGCCCCTTTGACTAAGCACAAGTGACAATAAGATACAGAGCTCCTTCCACCAACGGAGACGGTGCTGTGGAAAGACACCAGAGCATGAAGCTCCCTAACAAGGAGCTTGTATACCTTCAACATGTACAAACACACGCGCGCGCATACACACACACACACAAACTGCCAGGAACCTAAACGCACATGCAGACCCACACACCATGCTGTTCGCAGGAACATAATAGGCTAGACCAAACAGCCTAGAATTAAGATGCCTATCATATCATGCTTATGGCAAATGGCCCAGGGATCATGCACAAGAACAGGACTCCTTAATTATTTTAGCATCTGGAGGGCACATTCTTACCTGCTGTCTTTGGTAAGCAGAGAAAGTTCTTTCTAGGTCTTCAAGATCTAGAACTTTGAAGACTTTTGTATCATCAATTTCGGTCCACACTGTTCCTTCCAGTTTGTTCTGCAAACATCAAGTTAAGAAGCGCTGGGGTTTATAGTTAGACACAAAAAGAACAGATGTAGTTATTTTTTTTACAAAGTGCTGCTATCCCAAATTTTTCACTCTACCGGATGCTCAGAATTAGCTGGCTTCAAAAATCGGGTCCCTTGTTTCAGAAGCTTTATCACTTGAATATCTGAACTAGTGAGAATCCTGAGTCCACACTAGGAAATGAAATCACTGGACAGCCAGGGTGGCCCAGTCAGAGACAACACAGTGCGCTGCTAGTGCTATCCGTTAGAGGGAAAGTTGGAACAAATGGCTCACCTCAGGCAGCTTAGACCAGTTGAAGGATTTCAGGGCATTTGTGGGCTGAGGAATGTTCTTCTTCTTGAGTGCCAGACCCAGGGGGGCACCAGGAGGTGGCATGACTCCTCCCAAGGGAGGAGGCCCTGGGGGAGGGGGAGGGCCCCCTGGGGGGAGGGGAGGGGGTGGAGGAGGAAGCGCTCCACCAGGCAGAGGCGGGGGGGGTGGGGGAGGGAGGAGGGGCCCGGGCACAGAGGAAGGAAAGGGCCCCCCGGGGGCTCCAGGCGATGCTCCACCGGGGAGTGAAGCGCAGACGGTCCTCTGAAAAATAAAAATAGGAAAAGAGGAGATGAACAGAAGAAGTAAATTCACTGGATGATTTTTAGGGTCTCAAACTTTGCCTAACATGTGTATTATGGAGAAATTCACACATCTGAGAACGTGGGCTTAAAGGCGCAGTAAGTTGAGTGGCCTCGTGTGTGATACTCTAGTGCTCGTTTGCAAAGGGCTCACGTGTCTCTCACTTCTGGTACCATCCTCCAGTTTGGTTTTCATGAAATCAGTTTTCATGTTAAGAAGCTAATGTGATTTCCTTGCTCTTGTGAGAGTATCTGTATTGGAGAACAAACGCACACCTCCAACCACCTCTGCTAACGTGCACGGTAAGCAGAGGGAATAGGTCGCACAACCACCGTGATGGATCAGGAGATGGTTCAGGCTCTATTGCCCCCAGCAGAGCTGTCTACTTAAGGATGGGGGCTCTGGGATAAGGAGGCCTCGGCAGCTGCCCAGCAATGGGAGACCCAGCCCGGGGCCCATGAGCTCACCCTGCTGAGCTCGTGGAGCTGGGCCGTGAGGTCCGCCACCTGCTGCTTCACTTGCTTGTGCTCAGTGGTCTCCTTTTCAAGTTTCTCTTTCATTTTATTCAAGGTCTGCATCATCTCTTCCTTCTCCTGGGTCTTGGCATCGCATTCTCGCTCTTTCTTTTCCAGTTTCTGTTGTAACTCATTGTGCTCTACACATGAAAACAACTGGACATGAAAACGGTGAACTCTTCAAAGCTGAAGCATTTTCTCTAAACAGAAGATCGATTGAGGGTGATTGTGAGGCTCTTTATTATGATTTATAAAATCATTCCTCTTCTCCATCAAAGGGAGCAACTCATGGGCTCAATGGTGCTCGTGCTTGGAGGGGGCTTCAGATGAACAACTTTATCAACTACATTCTGTAAAAGGCTGAAGAGGCCCTCCAGTCACAGTTCCAAAGATGGAACACAGGCATGAGCAACTATTTTGTGGAGGTGAATGGTGCCTGCTTGGTATTTAATTTAGAATCCTGTCCTAGAAATGGCCCTTTAGTCACACTAGGGAAAATGACTATTAACAGGGCCTCTTTTCACAGCTTAGAAATGAGAACTAGGCAAGTCCAGTGTTCATCAGCTGGGTTTGCTGGCTCAGGTCCCACTAGCAGAGGGGCTGAAAGGGAGGATCCTGCCCTGGGAGGAAGTGCTGCTGCCGGACCCAGGGTTTGTCCCAGTGTGGAGTCATTGCTCCCACTGCCCTCAGAGGGCCCCTTGGACTTGAAGTGTTTTATGCGCTGGCAAACAATTATTAAAACTTACGAAAGCAAATGTTATTATCTCATCATTAAACACCTTAAGGGCAGTAGTACCTGCTGAGCATGAGAATCGCGATAATACGCGGAGAAAAATATCAGCTCTCAGCTGTAGTTGCACTCACTCCCCCAATCCCGCTATAACGGAACAAGGCATCCCATTTAGCATAATGCTTACTTATGTTGCCAACACACCTGCTGACTCTAGCACTTACAGGAGTAATACTCTTTGGAAAAGAGGACTAATGAAGTTTAGCCTGCAGATTTTCATTTCAAATACTTGGCCCCAATCCCTAGTCTTTTTATACCAATAAACCCACTAGAGATAGAACCTACTGGGGCAGAGCTATACAGAGCTGGTCTCTATTTCTGAATTTGATAACATTTAAATTCTTGCTTTCTCCGTCTTTTACTTTCTCTCTTCTTAGTTCTCTAAAATCAGAGTTTGCAGAGACGGGTTCAAGTCACTAAAACCCTTGGATTTTACCAGCCTTGGAGTTAAGATAACCGTCAACTCGCTTCTACCGCTCTGTGATGCTTCCCTGACTTCTTCAGAGACATCTAAAAACTACCCCACTGCATCCCACTTTCCTTCTTCTATCTCCGTTTCATTCCTCTTTGACAATGTAAGACCTGACTTCCTATCATCGGTCATTAGCCTTTGACAAATCTGGCCAAGCCTCAGAACCACCTGAGAGATTTTGACATTTCAGGACTCACAGACCACATTCCAGGGAGTCTGTTCTATAGATCAGGGGCAGGGCTTAGGAACCTGTGGTTTTCAAATGTTCCTTAGAGGATTCTGATAAAGTGCCCGGTATGGGAAGCTCCAGCCTAAAGGATTATCTCCACAAATGGTTTCCATTTGCTAAGCTTTTATTCAGTACTTACTGGGTATCCGGCACTACAGAGAATTCTCCCCAGATATTCTCCACCTTTCAGGTCCATAGTACTTCCTGTTTCCTCACAGCCTCCACCCTCTGAGAAATTCATCAACAGGTACCCTATTTAATAGAACTTTGCTACTTGAACACTTCCAGAGAAGAATGAATTTTACCGACAATATCTCCTTTTTTGCACTCTATGCATGACCTCACTTTAAACCATCCTATTCCTCCAGCTGGTCTCGGCCATTTCCTCTTGTACCCCTCAACTGCCTAAATGCTACAAAACTTTCTACCATTTACTAGGCAGCTAATAAATGCCAGGTACTATGCTAAAGTCCTAATATTTGTCATTTACTCTTCACAACCCTGTGAGTTAGATGTAATCTCCACTTTGCAGAGGCAAAGACTGGAGGGGTAAAGGACATGACTTAGCCTACCCACACAGTCAGTCAGGGGCAGAGCTGAGACCCAGACCCAGAGCCCAGCACCATGCCTGCCCCACGCAGCCATTCAGTACATACCCACTGCATGAAGGACTGAAATGACTCCAAAGCTTATGTCCTAAGTACTCTCTTCAACTTGCACACCTAAGTCTCCATGCTCTAGGGTATATCCCTAAAGTACCACTCATTGACCATCTTCTTGGGTATAATTCTCTCTTTACCCTAACTTGTTGTCAGTGTCTCTATTCTTTCTATAGCAGTTTCTGGAATTAATTTATAAAAATGTATGTGCAACCTCACTTATTTGAGACCTATCTGAATTCATACGAGGAATATATATATTATATATATTATATAATATACACACACACACACACACACACACACACACACACATATATATATATATATATATATATAATATATAACAGAACTTCATATTCGGTATTTTCCGATATCAGTGGTGAGCCTGCTTTTCTGCTCAATGGACAAAACGTGATGAGAGGAAAGGAAATGCTTCAGCATCTCTTGAACCATATTTTCAACACACTGAATACTATGGTGAGTGCTACTGTATGTCACTGGCTGTGAATGAGTCACTTGGACAGGGAAAAGGAAGTCAGTTAACCAGCATAGTGAAAGAGTAGTGGCCGGGAGTATGACTGTTTTCTCAAAGGGTCCAACTTTAATATTTTGAAGGAGGGGAAGAGTTATACTTATTCTGTGAGTGGTTTGGCATGGTGACAGGCACAAATGATGCTGAGTGTTGATATCAAAGATATATTGAGATACTCACCAACGGCTGGTCTGTTAATGTTTCACAACATGTACGTCTCTAATGGTCAGTGATTTTCTGCATGATTTCTCTTTTTATAACTGGTGCCAAATTAAGGTCACGTGGAGAAATGGGCTGCTGAAACCAAGTTGCCTGTGCCTCTCTTTTAAAATTCTGGGTAATCCCTGGTGTCCCTGATTATAGTTCTTAACATCTAGTGTGCTTTAAAGAGCAGTTATGGGGAAGGCTGGGATGAACGGTAGTTAAGAAAATTTGAATGAATGAATATTGAACAGTAAATGCTTCAAAAAAAATGAACGGTGGTTTAGAAAATTTGAATTAATGAACATTGAACAGCAAATGCTTCAAAAAATGATTATAATGAAAGGATAAAATATTTGGGAATCAACATGACAACTAAGATAGTCTGATTCAAGAAAAACCAGGCAAAATGCCCTGAAAACATGGGGGAGGGGAAAAGCTGTTTATACACCAAAGTCAATGAGAAGCATCAATGCAAATTTCTAAAATATACAGTAAGGAGAGTTGTCCAATAACCAGTAACATGACCTCTTCTCTTGTCAGGACCTCATCATTTACCTTTTCTCATTTTTTCTGCTTGTTCTTTCCACTGCTTAACTTCATTTTCATTAACCAACCTGTATAATAAAGGAGCATTCATTACAAAAAGCGTAAAAGGCCCACTGCTAAATGCATGCTCTCTGGGTAGAAAAATTGTTTAATGCAGAGAAAGTCCTCAGCATGCTTGAAACCCATTTTAAACCCAGATGTTACATATATATATTACATGTATACATATAGGAACTCATATCTGACCTCTAGAACATTTCAGTTCTCCCAGCTGCTATTTTGAAGTAGGATAATACAAATGTCTTATATTGGTGCTATTATCTCAAGGGTAGCAAAATAAGAAGAAACTTACATCCGTACGACATTTTTAATATTAAAGTTTTCCAAGGGCGTGGAGTCAGGGTCCTGACCTTTGTCATTCTGAATAACTATTTGCTGTACAATTCTATCTAGGAGTAGCCAGTACTGAACGGTGTTGCCACTTCTCTTGTCTAAAAAGAGAAAAGAACAGTGGAGATACTTCAACTGGTTTCAAAACTTGAACGAATATTTTTCAACAGTGGTCACCCGCCAGAGCCACAAAACCAGACAGATGTTTACAACCCTTCCCAACGTTTCTGGAATTCTGACACACGATGATCATTTACGTGATTGAGAGGCATTTTCTGCCCCCTTCTAAATGTGTTGTAAGGCATATATTTATTTTAAAAATCAAAGCGAGTTATAATTCATTTCATTTTGAGAACTTCAAAACACCCTTAAGCTGTGCAGAGACACACTGGGCTGTCACAAAACTAAGGTTTGGAATCCCTGGTGTGCACCCAACCTAAGCCACACTGTTCCGAAGACAGAGCCCTTTGGATGATGTCCATTCACAAACACATGAGTTAAGTCACAAACACACTCACAAGGCATTTGGAGGCAGTGGTGCAGGATGGACATGAAGTGAGGGTAAGCTTCACTGTGGGTCAGCCTCTTCCTGGTCAGCTCAAACATCTGAGTAGCACTTTTTGTGTCTATGTGAACCTGTTTCATATGAAAAAGAAATCTAAGTCAAACATCCAAGTTCTTCAATTCCTGCAAGGTAAGGTAAGCAATTACAAGGCAAAAAGAAGCTAATCCTGCCACTTAGATAGCAAAACAGAAATCTGACTTTGCTCTTAGGTTACATGTCATCTCTATGACACACATTACAACAGGGACATTTGTGAGCTGCTGAATCAAATTAGAATAATTGTAAGCACATGTACCAGTTCAAATCTTTTGGCAAATTCTAGTTCATCTTCATTTCGGAGCATTTCAAAAAAATCTAAATGCCTGAAAGACAATTAAAGAAAAGCTATTAAAAGTTGAACATCCTACAAACACAGGCACGTAGGAATCAGGGCATAAATACTAAGGCCTTTCCTAAAATTTCAGAGATATCTCTAAAAGAAGTATGACAACAAAATTTGAATGCCTTCTCTTAACTATGTTCTAAGGAAAAAAGACATCATCTGACTGAAATGAGATCACTACAAGAGACAAATCTGAAAGCCTAGGATGCGCAGCACATAGAAGACAATTCATGAAAGTTTATCAAATCCAAACACAACCAAATCCAGATTCTACTCATGGAATCTCTTTATGGAAAAACAAGCCCATATAACTAACTTGACTGATCACTGAATTAAAGATTACAAAAGAAATGTTCATGCCTTTCACCTATTCATTCAAATACTTATTGAGCCCCTATTATTGACTGGGGAATGATAAGTTCTGTGAAGACAAATCCAACAGTGTAAAGAGGACAGAGAATGATGGGAGGCGAGGTGAGGTGAAGAGTATGAACACAGTGGCTGGAAAAGGTCTCTGCATGGGAAAAAGGGAAAAAGCGATTTGGACATCTGTGGGAAGATCTTTTAATGCTGAGGAAATAGCAGGTGCAAAGGCCCTGAGGCAAGTGTATTTTGACATGTTCATAGACTATCAAGGAAAAAAGCGTGGTGGAATGTGTGAATGAGGAGAAGAGTGGTAGAAGGAAAGATCTGAAAGCTGGTAGGATATGTTAGAAACTGTAAAATGACTGCAGACAAGAGCAAATGAACAGGAAAGCGGAAATTAACATTCATAGAATGTCTATCAAAGGTGCCATGTGATTCCACATGTTTTATAGTCAGCTTTCATAACAGCTCTGCAGAATAGTGTTATCATCATCATCACTATTTCTTTACGTATAAAAACAGTAAGGGGGCTTCCCTGGTGGCGCAGTGGTTGAGAGTCCGCCGGCCGATGCAGGGGACATGGGTTCGTGCCCTGGTCCAGGAAGATCCCACATGCCATGGAGCGGCTAGGCCCGTGAGCCATGGCCGCTGAGCCTGCACGTCCGGAGCCTGTGCTCCGCAACGGGAGAGGCCACAACAGTGAGAGGCCCGCATACCGTAAAAAAAACAAACAAACAAAAAAAAACAACCCAGTGAGGTTCAGAAAAATTGAGTAACTTGACCAGAACACACAGCAGGTAAGCGGCAGGACTGGGATATGGATTCAAGTCTAATGCCAAAACCTACACTAAGTTCTCTACACAAGTGCTGCTTCTTTCATCGAGAAAGTCTTACTATAAAAACATCATTACCTGGTCTAACATTTTGGTACAAGTTCCTTAGGTCACAAGTAGTTCATAGACTGGCACTATACACAAGGAAAACACATGAACTATCTCATAATAGTGTGACTTACCTATCTAATGTTGAATTTTCATGTTCCCTTAATTTATCTATTACAGGTTGAATTCCCAACATCAGAAATTCATAGCGAAGATGAAGTCTAAAGTCCAAACTTTCCTGAAAGTAAAAGGGTGATGGAATACATTTTTAAGCTCTTTAGACTACACAGTTGGTAATCTTTTTTAAAAAATTATTCTTTAATAATATATGTTTTAAATTGTGGTACAGAAGGCTCTTACCACTCCTGCGCCTTGGCTTAGCACTGCATTGATGAAGGACATGATGGCAGTCTTGAGACTCACTTCATCTCGATACCGCCCCGTGCTTTTATCCAAGTCATTAATTAATGTCTACCAAGGATACAAATGTAAAAACAAAGGACCGAATATTTACTAACCGTACACTCATTTTATTAATTTTTTAATACTCTGAAGTTAATTTTTAAAAGCTTGTGTTTAGTCAGAATTACATTGATCCACAGAAAACTACCTTTTTTTCCTTAAGATTAGTCCTAAAAACTCTACTTTCAAAATTCTTACATCATATATGTTTACATATACATGTACACAAAGTACAAAAGACTGTGCTTCGTTAACTCTGCTTACTTTTTATATTTGAGTATAAAGAATGTGGTGACATAATCTCACTGTTTATATTGATCCTAAATCAAGACTGGCAACACATAAAATTTTCAGGGAACACCCATTTAGTGGATCGGAAAGTGTTTTATATAATGTGTAGGAAGCAGGGCTACATTTTTAAGTTTAGTACAGTAGTCTCCCCTTATTCACAGGGAATATGTTCCAACATCCCCAGTGGATGCCTGAAACCATGGATAGTACTGAACCCTATATATACTCCTATACAGACTATGTTTTTCCTACATTAATGGCTGGGTGTTGTATACAGTGTGGGTATCTAGAGAAAGGGATGATTCACATCCTGGGAGGTACTGAGCAGGATGGCACAAGATTTCATCATGTTACTCAGAACAGCTGCACAATTTAAAGCTTATGAATTGTTTATTTCTGGAATTTTCCATTTAATATTTTTTAACCGCAGTTGACCTCGGATAATTAGCACTGTGGAAAGCAAAACTGCAGTTAAGCGGCGGGGGGGGGGGGGGGGG